AGAGAGAGAAAGCGAGAATTTGAGAAATGGAAACCCCCTCTCCGTCCACTCCTCCAGGCCGGGGCCCCGCCCATCCCTGGGACAGCCAATCATCCCTTTGCCGCGTGGCGTCATCTGCCCCGCCTCCCCCCGCCCCTAAATGTCAACCACTCCCCGGACCCTGCCCTTCAAAGCCGCGTCCTGGTGCTTTCAGTCGCTCCCTGGTCCTGGCCTTTCAAAGAGGTCCCGCCCCACAGCTTTCAATCCCCTCCTGGCCCCGTGATGTCATAGATTTCCCCCAGGAAATGCCAATCACCTCCTGGCCCAGTGACGTCAGAAGTCCCGCCCCCACGAGTTGTGGATCCCTCACTGGCCCGGTGACCTCACGGAGCTCGCGAGCGCCGGGAGCTGGTCAGTTGCCCCGGGCCGTGACGTCACAGAGGCGAGTCAGTGGCAGCCTCGCTGGGTAGGGGCTGGGTCGCCGCGCGCTAGGCCGCCGCTTACCCTGGGCCGATTGCGTCTGCACGAAGGTCTTGATGAGCAGGTCGGTGGCCTGCGTGTAGAGGGACAGGGCGTAGCGCAGGGACTGCAGGTCTGGGCTCTTCTCCAGGAAGGTCTTCTTGAGTCCCACGCCACCTGCGTGGAAGTATTGCTGTGGAGGACGGGGTGGGGAGAGGTGAGACCAGTTGGGCAGCCCCAATCCGCCCTCTCCAACTCCGCTGCCCTCCGGTGGTGACGCGCCCCGGATGGCCTGGGGGCCCTCAAAACACCCAAGTCGTGCTCTCCACTCCCCGACCTCCAAACCTGTCCCAAATCCACGGGTGGGCTTCCGGCACTCTCAAAGTAATACCCATGCCTCCCGCCTCTCCCCAAGCCTCTGTGGCCCCAACCCTGCAACCTCCCAGGCTTCTCTCCAAATGTCTTCCCTAGAACGTACCTGCCTCGGGGTCTTTGCATTTACTGTGCTCACTGATGGGGAGTCCCTCCCCCCCACTTCAAACACCCCCATTTTGCCATGGTGGTCTTCCTCTGGGTAAGGTCTCGAGGAGCTTTCCCTGACCACCCTCCTTACTGTGTTGCGAACCCTGTTTCACTATAATTCTCTGTTGCAGCAAAAAATGTCTTCTAGAGTAATTTTCATGCTTTCTGTGTCATGGAGACCACAGTGTTCTTGCACGGACTGGTCCTCTGCCTGGAATGCTTTGTTTGCTTTGCCTTGTGAACGCCTACGCATTTCTCAAGACCCACCTCCCACATGCCTTCTTTCAGAAAGCCCTCGCTTCTCCGTTCCCGGGCTCCCTCAATTCCCATCCTCCCTTCTACCCGGCCCTGACCCCACAGAGCTGGGGCTGTCCCCCCCGAACCTAGGGCTCCTCGGGGCCCCGCCATCAGCCAGCCTGGAGCTGACAGAAGAGTCATCAGGGGGTGTTTGTAAATTGGATACATTGAGGTGGGTTCAAGCCTAAGTCACACGCTCTGCCTGCTCCCCCTGGGATGACACAGGGGTGGGAACTCTCACCTTGATGGTGTCCAGGGCCAGCTCAACTACTGCACACTGCTTCGGGGTCAAGCTCTTGGCTTCTTCTCGTACCATGTGGTCCTGGATGGATGGAGAGAGGGCCCGGGTGGGCAGACCCACCTTAGGGATCTGCCTGTCTATAGGCCTCATCCCTGTAAAACTCTGAGGAGTTGGAGAGTGGGTCTGTCTTTTCATCACGATGTCCCTGGTGCCTAGTATGTGAGTGGCACACAACAGGGGCTCAATATTTGTTGAATAAACGACATGTACCCTTGATCAAGCTGTATCCGAAGCCGAACTTTGCACATCTTTCCAACACAGTGGAGCAAATCAATTATGCTTCTGTCAGTCTGAGCAGGGTTTCTGTCCCTTGAGCATGTCACCATTCTGGGACCTCTCCCCCCAGGAAGCTTCCCCACCCCAATCTCCTGCCCCCCACCCCTGGCCTCACCTTGAGTTTAGACAGCTGACCCAGTTCTTTGGCTGCATTGAAGATCATCTGGGTTCCCTGCAGGTAACAAAGAGTCACAGCCAAGGTGAGCGTGGGGGTCCTCCAGACCAATCCCCACAGCCTTACTGACACCCCAGCCCTGGACACGATCTTAGTTTTTGTCCAGAGGCTCTGGGCAGGGCAATGGTTGTGTCCCAGGGACAGAGGCCTGGAGCTTCCCCCTCAGAAAGCGCTGAGGAGGAGGTGGTGACTTTGTCCTTGCAAATCCCAGTGTGGGCGCACTACCCACCCTCTCGCCTCCCTCAGGACCCCAGGTTTGTGGGACAGAGACGACAGAATGGGCAGCGAGGGACCGTGGGTGTAGCGAGCCGTAGATGGTGTTTGTCGGTATGGGATGGGCTTCCCAGCCCCAAGTCAGGGGGTTTTGAGAAAACTGGGGGATGGGCTCTAGTGACCCCCGCCCCCAGCCTTCCCCGCCCCCTCCCTGGGCCCATTCCCTGTGTGGGCGAATTTCCCCAATAATCTGGGTGGCTGTTAGTCTGACCTTGTAAAGGGAAGAATCCTCCCCACCCACACACACCTCGGTACCCATCCCCCACCCCACCCAAAACAGACACCAGCAAGATGGCATCCTGGGTATGGCCCCGATGAGCCGGGTGGGCCTGGGTTCAAATCCCAGCTCTGCTGTGTGGTCCTGGGCAAGTCACTTAACCTCTCTGAGCCTTCCCATCTAGTTGGGGGACATTGTATCCACTTCACGGCTTAGCTGGGGCTCAATCTGTCTTTGTTCAGTGTTCCCTGTTATTATCATTTGGTCTCAAGGTCATGAGCAGTGCTGGGGGCAATGGTCCTGCCGCCTCCGATCGCTGTGCTGGGTGACCTGCGGCATGTCCCCGGCCTTTTCTGGGCCTCAGTTTCCTTCCCTGGTTAACAGGGGCACCTACGCTAGCTTGGGGGATGGGGGAGGCCTAAGTATCAATGAGGTAATGAGTCCTGCGTTTACTGGGCCCTGGGATGGTGCGGGGTCCTGAGCAGGGCGAGGCAGGGAGGAGGGCCATTCATAGCTGCGATCGTTGGAATCGTGTGGAGGGTCGACCAGCTGGCCGATGGGAGCTGGCCCTCCGGCCACTATTACTGTTGTTACTTTCATCCTGGCTGTCGCTACTCTTGCCATTACTTGTCTGTGATGACCGGAGGCTGTCATGAGGTACAGTGACTCAGGAGCCCAGCCGTCTGGTCCTTGGTTCCCCCTGCCACCCCCTCCTCCCCTCCTGCCTCCCCCCCGCCCGCCGCCCCTCGCGAGCAAACCAGACAGACAAAGGAAGAAGAGACCACGGATGGGTTCACAGTGCGCCCCCCGAGACGGCACAGACCACAGAGGTGGAAGGAGGCACAGGGTGGGGAGGGGGAGGGGGGTGGGAGCCAGACAGACAGTGACGGGCTGGTCTTACATCTGAGTGGCTTGGCAATTTCACCCTGCCCTGTGGAGAGAATCAGGCGGAGGTCAGAGTTTGGGCGGCTGATGGGAGGGTGCTCACTGGGGTTTCCCTGCCCCCTGAAAGCACGGTTCCACTCCCCGGCCCACAAGCTGCCCTCCCCCCCCCCCCCCCCCCAGCTCCTGGATCTAACGCTGGGCCCCCTCCTCAGCTAGGCACCTTCCCTTGTCTCCCACTGGGAGCTGGGGGGCTAGACGCCCGGACTAGCCAGGAGGCTAGAACCAGCCTGTCACCTGGGGACAGCCTGCCCAGGGATGAGGCGCCTTGGGGAGGAGGAGAGGAGAGAAAGGACTTGGGTTTCTCTCCTCCCCCAACTCCCAGGACTCTTCCCTGGGAACCCTGGCTCTCAAAGAAACGTACTTCTAGGTACCACAAGTTCCCTCAGTGTAGAGAAACGCACCCAAGCACATCCACGCAGGTGCAGAGAGTTTATGCCCCCTCATACACACACACACCTGGATCAGCATACAACACACACACACACACACTCACACACTAAAATACACACGTGCACTCCCAAACGCTTGCACACATGTGCACAATCACACACATCAACTCACACACTCTCACCCCCACACGGATGCACTTGCATGTAAATGGTGCCCCCCAAAATGGCTACATGAGTGAGTAGGGAAGCCCTACAACCCATGTTCACATAGCAGAGACCCCTCTTGTGCGCTCACAGGGATGACAGTTCCTGCGTGAATTGCACAGCAAGGGCAACTGTTCATGTGCTGTCACAGCTCCCGTCTCCTTACAACAAACACCCGTTAGAACAACAACAAAATCTACATGAACAACAAGGCATGTCTCGGTCGAGGGCCGTGGTCCAGCATCTGGGGCCCTTCTTGAAACCATAGAATTTCAGTGGAACCCAGCGCTGAGATAAGCTCTCTGGGTCTTGTTATGAGAGGGAGGGAGCTGTTTGCATACGTTTGTGTACACATTTGCCCACATGTGCACCCAGACTCCAAGCCATGTCCCTGAAGAATCAACTCGTCTCTGACTTCTGGTTTTGTGGGAGTTGGTTAAGACACCTGCCTTTTACCTGTGATCCCCAGCTGACCTTCCTGCCCATGCCAATGAACACACACACACACACACACACACACACACACACACACACACTCGGACCCCAGAGCTCAGGACCTCAGCACAGATGAGGCCCTCATTACCTTTTCTAATCCCTTGCCATGTTTTCTCAAGAGGGTGCCCTGCAGAGACAATGTCACAGGGTGATCAACCTGGCAAGCCATGTGGGGTGGGAACCCAGGGTGATCACATACGTACTCATGGGGACAGGAGGTAAGGGGCATCTAATACCGCACAGGGGGCTGATGGCTGGGTTGCATGTGTGTGTGCCTCAATGATCAACTCTTAAAGGCTGTAAGAGAGTCAGAGAGACAGGGAAGAGAAAGAGAGGAAAAACAGAAATACAGAGCCAGAGAGAAAGAAGTCACTGCCAAAATATAACCCATTTACGTTTACTGTATATATGAGGATCTTGTTGCTTGGGTCAACAGGAGAACAAATGGGCTCCAAATTCAGACAGACCTGAATTTGAAACCTGACTCTGGCCTACGTTTACTACGTGGCCTTGAGCAAGTGACTTCTCCTCTCTGAGCCTCAGCTTCCCTCATCTGCAAAATAGGAACAATAATATCCACCTCACTCAAAGGGTTGTCACGAAGGTGGCCTGTAACATCAGCTATGAGGTCTGGCATACAAGGAATCATCAATAAATGTGAATCCCTGGCCCCCTGGGTGGCTTAGTCGATTGAGTGTCTGACTCTTGGTTTCGGCTCAGGTCATGATCCCGGGGTCATAGGATCAAGCCCCACATCGGGCTCTGTGCTGAGTGTGGAGCCTGCTTGGGATTCTGTCTCTCTCTCTCCCTCTGCCCCTCTCCCCTGTTTATGCTCCCCCCCTCTCTTTAGCGGGGACGGAGAGTCACCCTTAGCTCCTTGCTGCCACCAAGTGGTTACAGCCAAAGATCCAGACTGCAGCCACCAAGAAGTGAGCCGAGTACGTGCAAACTTTGGACAGGTGACATCTTACGACGACCTGTCTTGCCCACAAAGGGAGATCTCTGCCCTCCTATGTGTCTACATATTGCCTCCGCCAACAATAATAGTAGCTCTAATTTTAGTGACCACACAGCCTAAGCTAGTCACGGAGATGAGCACTTTAATGCATCATCCCATTTGGTTCTCACCACAACCCTCAACAGAGTTACTGCAGTGAACCCTTTTTCCAGACAAGGAAGTGGAGGTTGAGAGGTGAAGTGACTTCCCAAGGTCACAGAGAGAGTGGCTGGGCTGGGATTTGACGCCAAGATGGCCTGACACAAAGTCACGGATGCTACCTCCCACCTGGGTGCCTGGGCGTGTGCCCGCGATTCATGTGGTCGTGGAGTGGGACTGGGAAGGCAGAGGTGGTAGGAGGGTCTGCACTGAACAGCCGAGTGGGGACCCAGATGGTGAGGGCCTGTATTTTGGGAGGCTGCTAGCAGTTCAGAGCCCAAAGGGGAGGTCAGAGCGACTCCGTCGACTTTTAACCTCCTTCTAGCTTCAGGGAGAGACTGATACCCTGCTGGAGTCTGAGAATATGGGAGGAAGGGTGATTTCCAACTAAAGGACGAGGTCAGATGGGAAGGTCCTGGGCTCGGGGTTTGGGGTTTGGGAGGCGGAAGGTAGGTCCTCTCTGCTTATAACGGGGCGGGGTGGGCGGGCGTGGCCTCCCTCCCTCCAGGCCCCGCCCCCTCCCCATGCCCCGCCCCAGACAGACACAGGCACATCTAGGCGGGAGGTGGGACAGTGG